AATAGTGACATGAGTTAGGTTTTTCTTATTTATTTATCCAAATTAATGTTGCATCTACACCATCATCTATATGTAGCCAAGACTTTGGTGATCAGATATCTGGGATCAAAACGAACTGCCAGCATTGCTTACTATGTACTTTTATAATGTTTCTGCAAGTGTTCCAAACTGCATTTTGCAATGTCTATACTTTGATGTCAAATTTCAAACTTAACAAAAATCTGACATATTTACAATATATATTAAAATAAAGATGAGTGTAATGGCAAAACAAATATATAAGAAATAATTTATTTGCCATGAATTAAATTTATGATATTTGAAGAAATGTGTGATCATGCCCCAGTCAGTGAAAGTGTGTTTCCTACCCCTAGGCCCCAGAGGGTTAAGCTTCGGCTGACAGTCGTTTCTGTTTTAGCGGTAACTTTAATGGTTAAGTGGAGCCCAGCTCTGTTCGACTCTGCATGACCATCGGTCTGGCGTGGAGAGTCACAGTCTCACTGCAGGCTTTGTGCCTTGGCTCGACAGGAGGCAGACAGGAGAGTGAAGATCCAGAATGTGGTGAGGTTCCCCCTAGTGGGGATGGACATGGCGCCCCACATGGTGAAAAGGAGCCAGAGCAGCTGGAGCCTTCCATCGCATTGGTCACCATGGAGACGACCTTACGGGCTTGGCCGCGACCCCCACGACTACCTGTACGACCTGTACGCCGTGTGCAACCATCACGGCTCCATGCACGGGGGACATTACACAGGTGAGGCTGTGCAGTGGACATTCTCACATGGTCTAGTTGGCTTGCCAGTGGCACATCCTGCAGCCCTCATGACCCGTTGGTCTCCTCAGCTTACTGTAAAAACTCCGTCGATGGACAGTGGTACTGCTTCGATGACAGTGACGTCCAGCCCATAGCGGAGGAACAAGTTTGCAAGCAGACAGCGTATATCCTTTTCTATCAACGGAGAACTGCCATTCCTTCTTGGTCGGCTAACAGCTCTGTTGCAGGTGATTGTGTTTTTTTCTTGTTTCTGCTCATGGGATTCCTTCAGACGCCGCATGGCCCAGTTCCCGTTAAGTGCTTCTGCAGTGACCGTGTTGTGATGATCCTTCCAGGTTCCACCAGCTCCTCGCTATGCGAGCACTGGGTCAACCGGCTCCCGGGTAGCCGGCAGGCCAGTGTGGCTTCCGGCGCCTCGTCCAGACGCACCTCCCTGGCCTCGCTGGCGGAGTCTGGGGATTTCCCCGGGGAGCGCAGTGAGGATGACGGTTAGTGCCACATGCTTACCTTCCACTGCGTGCATCTCTGAGCTCGGAGTATTTTACCCTTTTGTCTGTATGGCACCTGTGTAATTTTGTAATGACTTTCATAATTTTCTAACCTCCCTGACTACTTTATTGGTTTACTTTGCGTTTGTTTTATTTTTTCTTATGCCTGGCAATTGATTAACGAAGGATCTTGACTGATTGAACTGTTTGTCATTTTGTATCTGTGCATCAGCTTAACCACTTGTCTTTCCCATAAGGAGGATTCTCTATCCGGCCTTTCGTGAGGAGCGTTCAGCGGCAGAGTCTGTCTTCAAGATCATCCTTAGCCAGCCCCCTGGCTCTTAATGAGAATGGGATCAAGCCCTCGTGGTCCCTCTCAGCCAAACTCCACCTGAGGTCCAACTCTCCATCACGCTTTTCCTTAGACTCCTTTTCCTCATCCTTAGAGAGGATAGGAGAGACTTGCGACGACAAAGTGTCAACGTCCTGTTTCGGCAGCTACAGCAGGCATGAGCGGCAGGCGAATAAGGCTCCCCTGGCAAAGATGGAGGGCATCACCAGCGACGAGGGCAACGGTACGGAGTTTGTAGACGAGACCTACTGCAGGGCTCCCATTCAGCCAGACAAGAAGAGCTTCAAGGCCGACCAGGTTGACAACAGCAACCAGCTTCCAGGTGTGGAGCAGAAAAAAAGTGGGCAAGGAAACCCCACCAAGGAGCAGAAGCGAAGGAGCATTTCTGGAGGGTCAGGCCCAAAATCGGAGAGCTCAGGCACCAAGAGGAGCTCTGCTAAGATTGCGTCGGACATGGAGAAGATCTCCAAGAAGCGCCTGGGCGGCATCTCTGCTTCTAAGTCCCCCTCTTCCCCGGTCTCATTCAGCCCCCGATCTAAGAGCTCCACTAAAGTGTCTAACCTGAAGGACAAGACTGACTCTGCAAAGATCACGAGGTCCCCATCCACTGGGACACCTTCTAAGAAGGTATCTGCCAAGGGTCAGGAAACACCACAACCAGGGGCCACCCAACAGAAGCAGCGTATCTCATCCATGCCCAAATCTTCCGTGTCTGCCTCACCCCCTGTTAGGAAAACCCTGTCCGGGACCGAGAGGATTTTGGCGACTGGTCGGAGCAAACTGGAGAAGAGTGCCAGTCAGGACTCCCCCCGGACCAGCCCTTTGGTAGACAAGGCCAAACCAAGCCCTGTGGCCCGGGCCTCACTGCCCCGAGGGGCCGACGGCAGCCGTCTGGATAAGCGACTGCGAAGCTCCAGCAGCAGCTCCTCCGTCACCAGCCTCCGGTCACCAAGCGTCTCCTCTAGGGAACTCCACAGGAACAACAAATCTGAGGACAAGGGATTATCCTTTTTTAAGTCTTCGCTGCGACAAAAGGAGACGCGCAGGTCCGCAGACTTGGGCAAGACTGGCATGTTTGCTAAGAAGGCTTCTGAGGGGGCCGCTAAGGGGGGCGCTAAGGGGGGCGCCCTGGCCAACGGCTCGCTAGGGACCAGCGACAGCTCCAGTAAGCCGCCTCTAAAGGCGCCCCCAGGTTCCCAGGCATTCAAAGGTTCGGACAAGGAGAGGTCTCCCAAGACCTCAACCCCCGTCAAACGCTCGGCTTTATCTCAGTGCAAATCGAAGTCTTCCACCCCTGAGATGGGACAGCAGTCTCCCGCAAATGGGAATAAGCTACTTGAAAAGACTGCTTCCTCTAGAAAGCTTTCTTCCGGCATGCAATCGTCTGCAAGACTAACACAGAAGCCTCAGTGATCTATGAATAGTGATTTTAGTTTTCCTGCAATGCAGCTATTTTTATGTGCCTAATTATAAATATATGTATAATATATACAATTACAATATAAGAATATATAGTCTATATTTTTCTTTTCTTAAAGAGAACTCAATTCTGTAGATTATGAAAGCGCCTTTATATCCTACCATCAAGCCAAATAATTGCCAAAATAATTGGCAAAATCTGGTACAAAGTCCGCTACTGTGCACAATCAAATATTTCACTCATGAATGTTTGCTTTTCTTTGTGTGTGTATGTGCTTGTTTTATTATTATTATTTTGCCGAAACAGTGGAAATACAGACTTCAATGTTGATTGCAATGCTACTTAAGTTTTCCATGCTCTTTCATGCTTTGAAACGTCTGAGGTCACTTTAATATTGGTTTGCAGGACAAAGATCACCTTCACATGGGTTAAAAAAAAAAAAATGTTCTGACTTAGTGGTAATTAAGAGGCAATGTCTCACAGTAAATGTCTTTGTATAGTCCTTCACCAACACACTAAGTATATACAATATTCCCAACAGTACAGGGTTGTTCAACATGAATAACATAGGTAGTTTTAAAAAGTTTTAAATATTTATTATTATTTTTTTAAAGTGCTCTTGGCTGGAGTTTCACTGGTTTGTGTGAATTGGTAGATGGTGCTGGGATTGGGACACTAACCTCCATGTCCACACCTAGCATTTATTCTGTTAGTCTTTGACTTTGTCACATGGTTTGTTGCCTTTGCGATCGTAAGAAAACCACCTGCAGATGACACGCTGTAATTGAGTTATTTAGCTGCATTAATCCAAATGCGTCCTATAAAAGTCTGATATAGGTCCATCCTGAATGTTCTGTTAGCCAGATGCATTTTAGCGGCGCCGCTTTTTCCCTTCTGGGACATGATGTCATCCCAGTAAGACGAGTGCTGGAGTAAAGAGCGAGCTTCCAGATTGAAATGTTGCTGTGTCTGTCACTCTTTACGTTTGGCATAAGGAATTTAACCTGCTGTTTCCACCTGCTGACGAAATCTGTTTATATAAACAGATGTTGCATGCTGCTGGCATAAAGGCCACTAATGATTTCAGGTGCTGAGCATGTTTTTTGAAACTGCACACATCCCTGTGCTTCTGGTCCTCGTGCCTGGCTCTATACACCCTTCTCCATCTCTGTGCGTCTGGTCCTCGTGCCCGGCTCTATACACCCTTCTCCATCTCTGTGCGTCTGGTCCTCGTGCCCGGCTCTATACACCCTTCTCCATCTCTGTGCGTCTGGTCCTC